AAGCTCAATTTGTGGGGGGGGGGAAAAAGGACATTGATTTCATCTGGGTGCAGCATTGCATGACAGCGCAATTGTCAAAGTAACTCAGCGCCGTAACGTAATAAATGTCCTGGTCAGGAGGGCAAGTGGTTAAAGTGTGTTTCCATTTTGCAGTAATTGATAAACCCTGACCTTCCTATTTGTACAGCATACCAATAGAAAAACCTAATGCAAGAAGCCAAGCTTCTAAACCTTTACCACTGTTAGGGTGTACAGTGATCAAATGTAGTTTACAATTGAAAATGAAGATTTGCCACAGTACAGAGGAGCAATTTACATTTGGAGCAACTACATGGAGCGATAACATTTGTGCCCTGTTCATGTTTACTGGCAAGGGAATGCCCAGATGTTGCATCCCTGTCAGCTGTCCTATACATGTCTACAGCCATGTCCCAGTATGACATCCGCATGGGTACATGTTGGTGAGTTTGAGGCCATGCACCCACATTGATGTCACATTTGGACACAGCGGCTGTGCCCCATTAGACATGAGTGGGGATGCCAACATGGGGATCCATGCAACACCTATGCATCTCTGTACCAATAAAACTCAGCCCTGTGCGGAGCATGGATGTAATTGCCCCATGTGAACAAGGCCTTATGTTAAACACAGCTGCCCAGCCCACTTGTAAGATTTAGTAGGCTTTTACAGTGTTGGAATTAACAAACCTCTAAAGCAGTGGTTCTTAACCTTGTTGGAGGTACTGAACCCCACCAGTTTCATATGCGCATTCACCGAACCCTTCTTAATTGGAAAAATAAAATGGTTTTTAAAATTCAAAACATAGGTATATATTTAGGTATATATTTATACATAGGTGCACAAAATGAACAAAAACGGTAAGAACAAAGAACAAAACCATTAAAACATGATTTTCAAACAAAAACATAATAATGCATATTTACTGCACGAATCATGAGTTGGGTGTGGGTCTTCACCTCCGCCGAACCCGCGAGACTGACTCACCGAACCCCTGGGGTTCGATCGAACCCAGGTTAAGAACCACTGCTCTAAAGTAAGGTGGGTACATGTTCTCATCCATGTAACTAAAAATATTAAGTATGTTGGTCCAAACGATTCCACTTTGGGGTCTCACGCACATTTACAGTTTTCCTTTGCTAAATCATATGTCCTTTTCTACTTTATAAAGCGTGTGTGTGATCTTTATTTTTTTTTAATCTTCTCATCAGGCAAAAAAAAATGAACACTTATTTTATTAGTGTCATGATATGCTTTTAGGTATCCAGACTTTTTTTTTTTTTTTTTTTCTTTCGTTTTAAAAACATGGTTTTGTGTGTGAAATCCATGCCTAGTTAGAGTTGCTGACCACAATTTGTTTTGTTTCCTTTAACAAAGAGAGATTGGATATAGTCCAGACAGGGACAAGAGCTTTGCAAATACAAAGCCCCTTTCATATTTTGGGCTGGGTGGTACTTGAATAGCCAAGGCTATCAAGTGTGTGTGTGTTTTTTTTGTTTTTATTTTTATTTTTTTCTCTCTCTTAAAGCTGAACACCAGAAACTCCTCCCTTGCAGTGGGGCTGTCTGTACTGTAATTTATTATACAGGATTTATATAGCGCCAAGTTTGCGCAGCGCTTTACAATATAATGGGAGACCATACAGTTCAGTACAAGAGGGATAGGAAGCCCTGCTCCTGTAAGGTTAAATTGCTCATTTATGCATAGGGCGCTGGGTACTATAAAAGTGATTACTTTTTTTTTTTTTTTTTTTTTTTTTTTTTTTTTTGCACTGTCCCTTTAAAAAAAAAAAAAATCACTTATTTTTATCACAAGAAATGCATGCATCACTTGTGATAGAAATAATTAGTGACAAGTCCTCTTTATGGAGAGATATGGGGTCAATAAGACCCCACATCTCTCATTTGCACTGTAAGAGAAAATAAAGTGCCTTGCCATGCATATAAGGAGCAAATCCTGTTTAATACTTCATTTACAATATCAATTTAAATTTCTTTTTTAACCTTTTGCCGCCCCGCCACTGTATTAAAACGGTGGCAGGGCGGCACGGCTGCGCAAAAGCATGTTTTTTTTAAACGTGCTCTGCGCTCCCGAGGTTTTCGCGGGGGGGGGCACACGCCCCCGCTGACCCGCGGCTGTTACCATTTGATCCCCGAGGGATAAATCATTTCGGTTTCAGCCAGTGATGTCCGGCTCAAATCGGATGATCGGTCCCAGTCCTATCCTATCCTGTCCTGTGTTGACATTTACACAGGACAGGATATGTCATTCTCTGCCTGGGCACATTCCATCCCAGAGAGAAGACACAGTAAACGTGAGTAAAACACTGCACATTTACAGTTAGAACACACCCAGGATACATTTAACCCCCTGATCGCCCCCCAGTTAACCCCTTCACTGCCCTGTCACCAGTGTCATTGATCACAGTGAACAGATTTTTACTGATCACTGTATCAGTGTCGCTGGCGACTTCCAATAGTGTTAGTGCCCCTCCCAGATAGTACCAGTTTGCCCGCTAGTACACCAGTAATCCCAGTTAACCCCTTCACTGCCCTGTCACCAGTGTCATTGATTACAGTGATAACAGATTTTTACTGATCACTGTATTAGTGTCACTGGTGATGTCCGATAGTGTTAGTGTCAGCGCCCCTCCCAGATAGCGTCAGATTGCCGCTAGTACACCATTAATCACGTTTGACCACTTGCACGCTAAACCTCCATTGCTAGTATAGTGTCTGATTTCTGATCGATATCTTTGATCAGATCAGCCCTATACCAGCGTTCACATTACTATAGAATCCCCAGAAACGCAGCGTTAGCAGGATCAGTCCCGACACCTGCCAGCACCTGCGTTTAGCCCCTACGCCCCCCTTTTCCCCCGGCAAGTGCAGTGTCAGTGGATAACTGTCACTTGATACATTACACACAAAACCGCAGTGTTCACAGAATCAGACCTGATCTCTGTTTAGCACTTGTCGGTAAATTTTTTTGTAGCGGTTCAAGCAGTCCCTGACAGCCAGGCGCTCTTTTTTTTCACGTGAGTCACACTAGGTTACTGTAAATTTAGTGGCCAAAATGTCCAACCAAAGGTACACTAGTGAAGAGGCCTATAGGATTCTTTGTTTATAGTGCAAAAAATAAAAAGCGCACAGGTGATCAAATACCACCAAAAGAAAGCTCTATTTGTGTGAAAAAGAGGACATAAATTTCATTTATGTACAGCATTGCATGACCACACAATTGTCAAACTAATGCAGCGCTGTATAGCAAAAAATGGCATAAATTACAGACACTAGACCAGGGGTGGGCAAACTTTTTGACTTGAGGGCCGCAATGGGTTCATATATTGGACCCGGGGGCCGGACCAAGAGTAGATGAATGATGTTTATGTGTGAATTAATATAAATTAAAATTTTACTTACCTTTGCTCCGCGCGTTCCTCTCTCCGTGTTCCCGCGCCGTTCCGGTCTTCAGGGCGGACTGTGAGAGGAGCCTAGCTCCCCTCATGTTCGTCACGCTGCCCCGCCTACACACATCCTGACAGCCAATCACTGGCTATCAGGATGTGAGTGGCAGCGAGACTGGCCAATCATTGCATTTGAGCGCGCTGAATGATGCAAATGTTTGCCTGCCCTAGCTGTTTTTTTTTTTTTTTTTTTTTTTTTTTTTTTTTTTTTTTATCGCGCTCCGCGCGGGCCGGAGCCCGTTTGCCCATTCCTGCACTAGACACTCTAACTTTCACACAAAGCAATTAATATACACTTATTGGGATTTTTTTTTTTTTACCAAAAACATGTAGCAGAGTACATTTTGGCTTAAATTTATGACTAACTTTGAGTTTACGATATATTTTGTTATAGCTGAAAGTAAAATATACAGTTTTTTTTTTTTTTTTTTTTGGGCTTTTTTTTTTTTTTTTTTTTTTTTTTTTTTTTTTATAGCGCAAAAAATAAGCACAAAGGTGATCAAATACCACCAAAAGAAAGCTTTGTGTGACAAAAAGGACATAAATTGTTTGGGTACAGCATTGCATGACTGCGCAATTATTAGTTGAATTAGTGCAGCGCCAAAAAGCAAAAGGCCTGGTCATTAATGGGGGTAAATCTTCAGGAGTTCAAGTGGTTAATGTAATATTCTCCACTTCCATTTTGTGACCAAAGTATACCTGCTTGTGATGGACAACATGAATGCTCAGCTACATCTGTGAGAATTTCCTTCACATATATTGAAAGACTGATTTTAAAGGGGCTGTTACAGCCACCAGTCAATTTCTGTGAGTGGGCTTGCACATATGTAGAACAAATGTCAGTTGGATATAATACAGTACACCCCTCACATTTTTGTAAATATTTTATTCTATCTTTTCATGTGACAACACTGAAGAAATGACACTTTGCTACAATGTAAAGTAGTGAGTGTACAACTTGTATAACAGTGTAAATTTGCTGTCCCTTCTAACTCAACACACAGCCATTAATGTCTAAACCGCTGGCAACAAAAGTGAGTACACCTCTAAGTGAAAATGTCTAAATTCGGCCCAATTAGTCATTTTCCCTCCCCGGTGTCATGTGACTCATTATTGAGAGCAATAACACCAGATTTAACACACCTGCTCCCCATTCACACCTGAGACCTTGTAACACTAACAAGTCACATGACACGGGGAGGGAAAATGGCTAATTGGGCCGAATTTTGACGTTTTCACTTGGTGTACTCCCTTTTGTACCCAGCGATTTAGACATTAATACATTAATGGCTGTGTTATTTTGAGGGGACAACAAATTTACACTGTGTACTTTAGCAAGATTGGTCCCTTATTTTTAAAATAAAACGGAACAGGCACTGAGGTAGTGTTTTTTGTTTTCCTTAACCTCAGAGTTCAGGGACAAGCGTAAAGCATGCCGCTACTGTGTTCTATTGCACTGTGACTTGTTAATTTTTGTTTAATGCTCATTTTAACACTTTTTTTTTTTTTTTTTAGGTACTAGGATCATTTATGATCGTAAGTTTCTTTTGGACCGTCGCAATTCTCCTTTGGCTCAGACCCCTCCTCGTCGCTTGCCAGATATTCCTGGAGTTACCAGTCCTAATCCTCGTGTAGAAGAACCCAAAGTAGAAACAAATAATTTGAACAACCATGACAGGAAGACTGCTGTTGGTAAGATGTACTGGAGAAGAGTACACATGTTTGTTTTTTGTTTTTTTTTTTGCCCCTGGTTCTCCAGGCCAGTGACACTATGTAATGCCCTGGTTTCAAGTTAGTTATATTCTAAAAGTATCTGATGACTAAGATACTGAAGTAGCTAATGCAGGGGCGTCCAACCTGCAGCCCCTGGGCTGCAAGCTGCCTAAGAGGGCTGTGAATTCGGCCCAACAAAGTGATAACTTGCCACCACTTGAGCTCTGAAAAGTTTTATCCCCTTCACGGCCAGGGATTTCTTTTGCTATTCAGCACCGTGCTACTTTGACCAATTGTTCAGTCACGCACCACTATACCCAAATGAAAATCAATATTGTGTTTTTGCACACAAATGGCTTTCTTTTGGTGGTATATGATCACTACTGGTTTGTTGTGGTTTTTTTTTTTTTTTTTTTTTTTTTTTTTTTTTTTTTTTTTTTTTTTTTATGTTCTTGTATAAACAGACTGGAAAATTGAGGGGGAAAAAAAGATTTTCTACTTCTGAAACACATCTAATAAAAAAAAAAAAAAAAAAAAAAATCACTTTATGGTAAAATGTATTCTGCTACATGTCTGGTTAAAAAAACAAAATCACAATAAGTGCATATTTAATGCTTTGATTTTTTTATAGCATCTACAAACTATGCATATAGAAAAACAATTGGATTATGAATTTACACAGCGGTAGACTATAGTGGTAATGGCAGTGATCAGCGATTATAGTGCGACTCTGATAATATGGAAGGCAATCTGGCGCTAACAGACATTGGCTGAGAGGGACACTGATCAGTAATACTGTACTGACACTGACTGGGAAGGGGTTAACATCAAGGGGCAATTAAGGTGTTAACTGTGTGCCTAACAATTGTAATGTGTGCTGCTTTTACTCACAGATCTGGCTGTCCTTTGTCCCTACTTTTCAGGGAGAAGAAAAAGCCAGATTGCTGTTCTGTGTGTAACCACAGAACTCTGTACTGTGATTGGACACAGCATGAGTTGTCGGGAGGTTTCAGTCAATGACTGCCTGAAACTTGCTGATTGGCTGACAACTCGTGCTGTGTCCAGTCACAGCATTGGTCAGCGGGGGGGGGGGGGGGGGGGGTGCGTGCACACTTGCCTGACACCGGAAATCAAACGTTGACGTACATGTACGTTGCCGAGCCATGATTTTTTCTTGCGTTCATTTACAGACACAGCCTCTTCTTGATCCATGACCAAACAGGGTTTTATAGCCCCACTTACAGGAGTAGGATACTAGGCAGAAAAAAAATCTTGGTACAAAAATATCTGATGGGCACTTTGAGAATTGCTACTACATTCATTGAACCAGATTTTGATGCATTAATTTTATCAAACTGTCAAATATCACACTAGTTTCTTGTTGCCCTTTTACTTTTTATAATATTACAAAGTTTTCTTACTCGGGTACATTATCTATATCCGTAATCTGAGCTACTTTTTTTGCTCATCAGCTATCCATACTTTTAGTGTATTTTGTGTCCCAAGGCAATTCCTCTTCCAATGTGGCCCAGGAAAGTCAGTCACCCCCCTGAGCTAATGGGTTGACATTGTCACATGGTCCCAACATTTGATATACATTACCGTCCCTCCATACAGTCAACTTTGCCTATTTTTAATTGGTGTCCCTCAGTCACCAAGAAGAGTGTGTGTGGGTCCCCACAGGACCCTTGACCCAACATACAAATGAAGCAAAAATGCACACACACAGGGGCGGACTGACCATTTGCCCATTTGCAAACTTGAGCACTGCCTGTGGGACTGGGGTCAGTAAGGAGCCCCGTGAGATGCCCCTGGTACTTTTTTTTTTTTTTTTTTTTTTTTTTTTTTTCCCCCACATAGGCTTTTTTGAGTTTGGGCGAGGACACGGGCCCCATGAGTTGTCGGTCCGCCCCTGCACACAAAGTAAACTAATTACCAATAACAAGTGCTGTGCTCATGCTACCCCTAAACCTGAGTGCATGCAGTCTTGAAACCACACCCCCATGCTCCAGTCATTCAGTTTGCTTATAATTAAATGGGGGAAAGGTAGCATTGTTGCTGAGTAATAACACGTGCCTCAGGATACCTAGCTATTATTTCCATAACTAAGCACCACCTTATGGCACACCAACTGAGAATGTAAAAAGGGGGGGGGGGGGAATACTCAAGTTAACCTTTTGAGAAATTGCTCATAAGAGAGTGGGGGTGAACTGTCATTCCAAAACCTAGGGACCAGCTCCAGTAGTTGAATGATATTCCATTCAGACTGATCACATCAAAGGGCAGCCTGCTACACTGTTGAATTTCCCTGAGCTTGGTAAGTGAAAGAGGTTGACTCCAAAATTCCTTTTGTCTGCATTTGTATCCTAATATTCCTTGTTAGTTTCTAGGAAGAAAATGTTAGCATGGCAAAACTATTGAAGGTCAGGTTTATATCTGAAACCAAAAAACACAGTTCGTGTGCATTCACTTTAGACACATGAAGGCTGATGCATCTTCACACAAATTTTCCCATCATGTGAAAAGCAAAACCCGGTTTAATTTCATCTGCACATGGTTGGCTAATTGAAGTGACTATTTATGCAATTGTGTTGAGGTTCTCCCACTCTTTTCGTAAATCAGCCCCATTAGCTACAACACTTCATTCCACCCCACTTTCTCTCCACAGGCAAGCGCAACACATTCCTCATTGTAATTCTAACAATATAAATTTGCTTCTGCCAGAATGGAGTGGTCTTCAACCACTTTGTGGTAATTAAGCGGCAGACAACAGAATTGTGAAAATGTTGTGTTTTTGTTTGTGTTTCTATTTAACCACTTGCCTACCGGCACTTATACCCCCCTTCCTTACCAGGCCAATTTTCAGCTTTCAGCGCTGTCGCACTTTGAATGACAATTGTGTGGTCATGCAACACTGTACCTATATGAAATTTTTATAATTTTTTTTCACACAAATAGAGCTTTCTTTTGGTGCTATTTACTCGCAGCTGGATGTTTTATTTTTTGCGCTATAAACAAAAAAGAGCAAAAAATGTGAGTTTTTCTATTATAAAATTTTGCAAACAGGTAAGTTTTTCTCCACTGATGTGCGTTGTTGGGGTGGCACTGCTGGGCACTTGTGGATGGCACTGCTGGGCACCAATCAGGGCACTGATCGGTTCCGATCCTTCCTCTGCCAACTGCCGGTTCTCAGCAATTGCATTTCCTGGTGATCAGTGTGTCATTGGACACGACTGATCACGTGGTAAAAGGCCACTTTGATTTTCCTTTTACTATACCACGTGATCAGCTGTGTCGGTAGGACACGGCAATCACGGAAATTGCCGGGGGGGTGCGCAGGAGAGTCCTTTCTCTGAGGACATCATGACACCCAGAACTGGACGGCCACAGTGAAGCCGTCATTCAGCGATCTGTGGTTGGCAAGTGGTTAAAGACCACTCACCTGCAACGTATTGCAAACTGGCAGCATCTGCAGGACTAGCGACATACCCATACATTGCTGTGGCTGTATCAACACTGTGGCACTGCAATTGTTAGATTAGCACATTTAACACTTTGGTCACCCAGCCAGTGCCATTAGTAGTGTCAGTATATAGAATTTTTCACTGATCACAGTATTATTGCCAGTAGCACCATCAGATGTCATCAGGGACTGTAAGCTCCCCTCCCAGTCAGGGTTGGCAGTGTTGGATTACCCATACACTATCGCACTTGCGCTATAAATCACTGATCGCCGCCATTACTAGTATAGTGTTTGTACAGCTCAATATACTGATCACAAACAGAACTATACTAGTGCCTCCTTAGTATTGGGTCTCCAAAAATGCAGCATTGGCAGGATCAGCCCTGTTTGCTGCCAGCGCTAGTGTTTTTTAGTCCTTCCACTGTTTTTCACAGAAGAGTTCTATCAATTGTGGGCCAAAGCAATTTATATGCCAACAATACATGGTCACCCACCCAAAAGTTAGCACTTGCCAGAAAATTCTTATGGAAACCTATCCCCATTTCCGACTGAAATGTGTGGGCATTAAAATAGAAAAGTGCGGTCATATTGATCCACAAACCCGATTCATCATATGCCCATGTTATTTGCTGTTACATATATGCCCAGCAAGGATCAGCAATGTACTGGTATGTTACTGAACTTTGAGTGGTTATACCAGGATGATGGATAAATGCGTAAATAGGTAGGCGCTAAAATGTCATGACAAATTATATAACAATAACTTAAAACATTATTTTAGTGACCGTCCCATAAAGATGTAGTCCCAGTCCCATAAAGATTTCCTCTTTCACCACGTGCAGACAAGTGAATTTCTCACTCCACCGGAAAAAATTGACCCCGGTTAAGGTGGTCAAATAGCGCTTTATTTTAAATATTGGCAACCAGCAATAAGCTCTCCTGGATCAGGCCTCCTGGTCTCCTAATATTATGTGTAGATCCAAAGGTTCAGAGATGGCTGCCCCAGTTGAGTGATCACAAGACTCTGGGTATACAAATAGTGGATGGATTCCCAATCCCAGGCTCCTCCAAGATATAGACATTGCTGCAAGCAGCTAAAATAAAACAAATACATTAAAATGCCCTAAGTGTAGTATTGAAAAATTTGTAAATGGATAAAATATCGATGCACTCACATGTATTGGTGCCCAAAAACCAGCACCAGTCTATGCAGTCTGGTTGTATTTCCAATGGTGATGGCTGGCGTGCGTTCCATGCCTCGCTCTCGGAGGCCCCGATATGGCGTCACTAAAACCCGGAAGTGATGGGATCAAGCTTCTACACTAACTTTTCTCATCAGCAGTTAGAGTAGTCTTGTGAGTTCAGCTGAGCGCTGGTTCAAGCTTGTAGGAGCCGTTTTCTTTCTGCTCTAGGAGGATGTAAAAGTCCTGACCATCTGTCTGGACAGTGCGGATTGGCCCTTTGCTGATCACATGCATTCCACAGATTGGCCCTGTGCTGATCACATGCACTCCCAAGAAAGAGGGGGGGGGGGAAAGCATAAGCCTTTTAATGTTGTCCCTGAAATGCCAGGATAGTAGGAGCAATCCCTCAAATGACTCCTTTTTGGAAAGGCGACAC